TTACCCCCCAAAACATCTCATTACAAATAGATTTAGAAAATTATGGTACTTGGAATTCTATCGTCACCTCATTCAGTGGAATTCTGTAGAGCTCTCGCTTGACAGAATTTGGCTGATTGCTTAAATATCAGATGAAGTAAATGTAAAATGAAAGCAGCTCTCTAAATGTCATGCCACTATGAGATCACTTTAAACACAGCATAAGAAACTTTAAGCCCAGTATGCAAATCTGATCACAAACCAAGGAATCATTTCTGTACATTCTCTCCTGGAGAAGTTATACAAGGATTTGAGTAACGGTATTTGGGCAAAGCACAAGCATATGATTAAACGAAATATGCTGAGGCTAGGGGTTTGGATAAATGTAAAAGTACTTATTGCACAAGCAAGAAACCTTAGTTTAGATACAAGCACCTACACACCAAGTCAGAGATGTACAAGTCTTACAGTAGGAATCCTGGAGCTCATTGTTCCTTTTTTCACAGGCCCCATGAGCAAAGGCAGAAATTTGATCTTTAAGATTCTCTTTAATAATAATCTGAGAAGACAAGGTTAACAATTACAAAATTTAATCTTTCCTTCATCTCCAGCTGACCAACTTTATAGGAAAGTTTACCTGTTTCCTTTGTTCAGATGCTCAGCCTTGTCTCCGATTATTATAATGCTAGTGCTTTTCTCCTAATAACCTTCTAGATTTCCCCTTGACTGTCAGCTCTCATTGTGTAGCTGGATTTTTTGTACTCTCAGAGCTACTTAGCCTGGCATTCCTAGCAAGATGTCATGCTATTGAAAGATTCACTCAGAATAAACAAACTTTTAGCAATTTTTATGTGTTGAGTTATGCACAATGTCCCTGCACATACATGGCTCTACAACATGAAGTGCAAATGTTTCTTGTGCTACAAGATACAAGAGTCCCTATGAGTTTCTGTCCCTCCTGACTTTTTATCCCTATCCCTGTGGTATGCTGACATGTAGTATTTCTTGTCAATGCCCAGGAATGGTATACCAGGGTCCTAGAGTAATTGTACTTTTAGTGTTTTGTGTATTCATCATGCTGATTTCTACAGGGGTTGCATATACCCACAGCTCACCATCAGTGAGTCATAAGCATTCATTGTCACTGTTTACATAAGGTAAGCCATTCTGACTGGGTGTGATAAACCACAAAGCGATTAACTTTGAATTTCTCTCATGACTACTTGTGTTGAACTCTTTCTGGAGTATTTATGAAACTAATAACCACATGAGATTCAGCTTGGTAATGTTTTCAGTGAAAGTCTTGTTCAGATGTAAGTGCCCTGGAGAAATGAAACAGAAAATTGAACTTAGTTTAAAGGAGACAGTAACAATGGGATTGAGAAAAATAACTGGGAGAGGAATTGTTTTCCCCAGGATTACTCCAAAAGCAGATGGATTCTGACCGGCACCTGTGCAACTGATGTTGAGCCTGCTCCTGATTTCTCACATTCTCCTGATGTTTTGATACTGGGAGCACCAAAGATCAGATTGTATTCCCCAAATCCTTTTATGTCTAAACTCCATGTGCCCAAATTACTCCTCTTCTTGGACGACTTTGCTTTTGCTTTGCAGTACTTTTCATGGTGGCAATGTACTTTTGCCTTCAATCACTATGCTGCTTAGTAAAAACTGATGTGCCTAGTGTCAGCATGCAAAGGCTCTGAGAGGGAATTCTTCTTGGATATTGCTACCAGGACATCCTCTATGCAACTCAATCAGAACATGTCTGCCACTAGCCTTCTCCTGTCCTAGATTCCTATGTTAATTAATGATAAAGGGTCTGTTTCTAAGGTAGAAGTCTATTTTTCTTGGTTGATTTTATTGTCTTATTCATCTAACTCTCATATTCTGCCCAGTAACAAGAGCTATTAATCTAATCATGGACTGCCCTTCATGGGATTCTTCCTGTGTTTCTACTGCTGAAGCAGTGAGGTGGCTCAATGAGTAGAAGATCTTGTCTTCACAGTTATTTTGGCTTAATTCTTAATTAGCTGTTACTGAGATATTGTTCTGATATCCTAGAATTGTGCTATTCTTGTGATTTTGCTACATCTTGGTATTTATGTTGATCTTTATGACAATATAGACATGGGCACTGCCTGCTATAATTAATACCTGACTAGAGCTACAATGTCTCTGGAACATTCCACATTTTGCCCTGCCATATCTCTTTAAAGCCCGTACTTGCCAGCAAGCCTAGCTAATCATAGCTTCTTGAAAGTAACAAGTTACTTTAAACCTCTGCGCATTTGGCAATGGACTAAGGATGCCCACCCTTTTATATACTTAATTTCCTGACATTTTAAAACATATTTTCAAAGAATCTATTGAGAAAAAGTATATAATTGCTTTTTGTATCCCTAATATTCTAAAACTATGTTCAAACTTCTAAATCCCCAAACAAGCAGAGCTCAAACTGCAGGCAGGCTCATCAGTTTGCATTTTCTACAATCTGCTTTTCAGGCAGCTGGACACTTAAGAAGGCAAGTAGCATCTCTGTTATGGCATTGGCCATCTTTGCTCATTTATATGCTAATTAGAATGGAAAGCAATATGATATAACTATGACGATTATTCCAGAACATTGTGTTCTTAATACCTTTTTAATATATAATTTAATATTGTAATTCAGGGATGAGCAGTAAAACTTGATGCCTTCTGTTGTTTTGTAAATCAGTTAATGATATCCTTAAGATGTAGGTTTTTCATCATCAGATATAGGTTTCTCAGCTGCAGAGGCAGTGAAGTCTTAAAATCTGGCTCATTGCTCCCCTTAGTTATACACATAAGTGCTAGAAAAAGTGAAATGGCTATGTATGACACTTTTTAAAAATGAACATTATTCAGTCTGTAATTCTGCACATTCATACAAACCATGGTTATCAGTCATAAGTTAAAGAATTGCTGGTTATGAGCCTCCCCGTGTGACCATGGAAAGGATCCTTTAACAAGCATACACCATCAAAACTTTTAACTTGTAATTACCTACAGTATTTATGGGCTATTTTTTAAATGTACTTTTTTTTTAATGTGCATTGATGTTTTTCTTGCATGCATACCTGTGCTATGGTGCCAGATCCTCTGGAACTGGAGTTACAGACCATTGTAAGCTGCCATATGGGTACTTGGATTTGAACCACAGTCCTCTTGAAGAGATGCCAGTGCACTTACCACTGAGCTCTCTCTCCAACCCACAGGAGCTATTTTTTATTCAGTTATATTTTGTTGATTTAATACACTTCATTATTCATATACTTATTTTTTATATTAATGATTTATTTAATACAAGTTTAAAGTTAAAGTTTGCATTTCTGTGGTAAAATAGCATTGTCCAAAGCAATTTGGAGAGAGGAGAGTTTCTCTTACATTTTTATATCACAGGTCATCATTAACAGAAATAATGACAAGCAGTGTAACAGGGCAGGAACCAGAAGGCAGGAAATGATTCAGAGACAATGGATGGGGGTGTGCTGCTTACTGGCTTCCTCTCATGGCTTTCCCTGCATGTTTTCTTATAAAAGTCAGTACTACCCCAGTGATACAGAGATGCCATCACCCACAATATGTTCAACACTTTTACATCAATTGTTAATTAAGAAAACTGCTGAACCTGTTTGGCCATGTGTACACCACACTGTGACATAGCTCCTGCCTCTGGAACAGAGCCAGTAGGGTGTTGACCTCCAAGAGTGTTGACGGTTTCTGTGGACATAAGGCTTGCTAGTATAATAATGTATTTATTTTCATGTTGCTTCATAGGAGGAATGTCCTCTCAGCCAAGGTTAATAACTCCATGATAATCAGAGACAGTAGGAGTCCAGGAGGCAAGGGTATATCTACTGTCTCAGCAAAATGATAGAATGACTTTCAAGACAGCCTTAAGGCTTTGAGAAAGAACACTGAGAACATGAGTTCAAAAATACATAATTCCTGAAATATACAAAATACAAGGATGCAGTATGAATTGCATAAGGAGCTTCATACATCTAGTGGAAAAGAGGCAGTTTCATTATGAGCCAGTTTGTCAGAAAGATACAAAGGAAGGAAAGAAAGAAATTTAGAAAGTGGTGATTGAAAGGCAAGATCCCACCCAGCTAAGTTTTTGTTTTTATGTTTAGAAAAGTAGGCAGAATCCTGAGTTCAAGGTCAGCCTAGGCCAGAGGAAGTTAAAGTCAAGGCTCATGTGCAGTAGGAATAATTTCAGGGCAGGGTCCCACCCAGCTTTCTTTTTTCTTTTTCTTTTTTTCATTTATGAGTTTTATTTTTTGTACACTAGTAGCTGAAAATGAAAAAGGAAATAATATCTCAGAAAATTTCACAGTGTAATGAATAGGTAATTTTCATACCTTAATTAAAATAACAATTGGAATTACAATATTTAAAAATTCTAGACTAGTAGTAAACAATCACTACAATTAATTAGTACTCCCATTGAACCAGAAATATTTATTCTAAGATAACAAATAGCATCCTAAGAAAATAAATAGCAATTATTATAAATACTATGAAGATAAATGAGCATATCACAAAATATATTTAGTAATAATATTAACTAAGCTATTAAAATGTTCATTTTTGAGTCCGTAATTCAACTTTTGAATTTTCTCACTAGTTGATGACACAGATCATTTTTCATAGAAGAATATTTATTACAGTATTATTCTTAGAAAAAATAAAATCAGTATAACTTCTCAATTAAGGGATAATAATAAAATAAAGAGTAATGAAACTATCAGATACATAATCAACAGGTATTAAAATCATCAATTTTCAAAGTCTTATATGGTTATGGATACTTTAAAGTCAAATATGTAAGCTAGACTGTCACAATTCTCTTTGAAAATATATAAAAAGAAATCTGCAATGAACTATACAATAATTTTATCAGTGCTTTTGGTAATACTTTTGAGTTTTTTATCTTTATAATTTGTGCACATTTCAATTTTTATGTAATAATACTTAATATTATTAGGTAATGCCTGCTTTAGCAGCATACGCACAAAAATTAAAATACTATAGAGAAGATTAGCATGAGCCATGCAAAAGGAATGAAACACAAATTCATGAAGCATTCCATTATTTTTAATTTTCTGTTAGTGAAATCCCTCAAGATTAATTTCTTATGTAGGGGATAAGAAGCAGTGGTAAGATTGAACCCAGGTCCTTTTTATCTTAGGCAAGTATTGTACCACTGAACTATATCCCACAGGCATATTTGATGTCATGGCAATACCTAGTTTTCCATGTTGTCACAGAGATGTAATGATATGGTGTAATGTTTTAAACATGCAGTGATGATTACTTCTGAATTAATCATTTTACTGAGAGTAGCAAAATAAAGATTGTTTCAAATGTAAAAAAAAAAGTGTATGAATCTTTAATTTGAAAAAAAAAAAACCGATAGAAACAGAAACCCACATATCCCAGTAGACTGGGGTTATTTGATATTGATGGGGAAATTTTAATAGTTCCAGTGAGTATTATGGTAAAATTTAACTCAAAATATATTAATGATGTTTGGAAATAAGATTATATTATACTGTTGTTCTTCCTATGGGGCTGAAAATCCCTTCAGGTCTTTCATTTCTTTCTCTAACTCCTCTGCTGTGGACTCTGTGCTCAGTCCAATAGTTGGCTGTGAGCATCCACATCTGTATTTGTCAGGCTCTGGCACAGCCTCTCAAGAGACAGCTATATCAGGCCCTGTTCTCAACCACTTCTTGGCATCAGCAATAGTGACTAGGTTTCCTGTCTGTATATGGGTTGAATCCCCAGGTAAGGCAATCTCTGTATGGCCTTTCCTTCAGTCTCTGCTCCACTCTTTGTCCCTGTATTTCCTTTAGACAGGAGCAATTCTGTGTTAAAATTTTTGAGAAGGATGATTAGCCCCATCCCTCAACCAGGAGCTGTGCCTAGCTACTCAGTATCGTCTTTACAGATTCTCTCTCCCCTTTGTTGGGTATTTAAGCTAATGTTATCCACATTAACAACAATATCAACTAACCAGATTCCCCAGAACTCCCAGGGACTAAACCACTAACCAAAGAATACACATGAAGGGATCCATGGCTCCAGTTGCATAAGTAGCAAAGGATGCCCTTATCCAGCATCAGTGAGAGGGGAGGCCCTTGATCCTGTGAAGGCTTGATGTCCCAGCATAGGGGAATCTAGGGCAGAGAGGTGGGAGTGGATAGTTGGGTGGGGGTGCACCCTTATAAAAGCTGGAGGGGAAAGGGAATGGAATAGGGGGTTTGCAGAGGAGAAACCTGGAAGCCGGATAACATCTGAAATATAAATAAATAAAATAAACAATAAAAAATTAAAATAACTCCACATTAATTTGTAAAATATCATATTATGCAAAATATTTCTATCTCAGAAAATAGAAAACTAGCCATTTGCTTAGAATATGATTTCTTACTGGATATTTTATTTACGTACATTTCAGATGCCATCCCCTTTGCCAATTTCCCCTCCCTAGAACTCCCTTATCCCATACCCCCTCCTCCATTTTGCTTTTAGACCATTTTAATTACATGCAAGTATTAAGGTCATTTCCAGGTTGAGGTACTAGCAATACAATAATGCAAATAGTCAAGGAACAAGCAAGACAATAAACACAAATAGTCAAAGAACAAGCAAGCTAATAAACAAAATTCCATGAACATTCCCGTGATCACTGTTTTTAAGGGCTTATCAGGATGTCCAAAATATCTGAGCCTACTTCCTTGTCCTAGCCCAAATTCATATTCATGTCTGAAGCCTACTTCATTGTTCTGGCCTAAAATTTAGATTCCTGCCTTAAATTACTTATTTGTTCTAGCCTAAGATTTAGATTCCCGCCTAAATTACTTCTTTGTTCTAGCCTAATGTCAGATTCCTGCCTAAAGTCCACTTCCTTGCCCTTGGCCCATGTCAGATTCTTGCCAAGCAGCCCCAAAAGCTCTTCACCTCTACCCCTTTTTTATTTCATAAACAAGACAAAACCTGTCTTAGGTTGTTCTGCCAAGAATGCCTTCCTTACTCACCATGGAATATGCATTATCAAAAGCAATGAATTTCTGTCTTAGGTTGGTAAGGCTCTGTGCAGACTCTTAACCCATCCTTGGTTTGTCAGTCTGTTAATTTAATAACTCTGTCTAGGGGTCCATTTTCAGGTTCAAGCCATGTCTTTTAGTTCCCAACATGTTGATGTTGTTAAAGAAAAACTTTAACATAATGGGCAGGAATAAAGTATGCCCAGGACAAAAAGGGCTAGCATGATCAAGCTCTGTTTGCCATAAGGAGGTGTGCCCTGAAGTGGGTACTGTATTGTTGGAGGAAGTGTCTCACTAGGGTGGGATTTCTGGTTTCAAAAGTCTAAACCAGCCCCAGTGGCTCTGTCTTCCTGCTGCCTCTAAATCTGGAAATAGAACTTTCGGTTTCTTCCTGTTTACAGTTAGTTAATATAATTGACATGTTCACAGATTATTGGAAAATCTGAGCCATAAAACTGCATAGAAGCTTGGAAAGCAAACTACAGTAATGTATTTGAGATGACTCATGTTCTGTAAGAATGAGTGGATTTCTATTTTTCCCACAAAATCTGAATGAGACTTTCTCCTGTACCTTGCATGTTATGGAAGGGAAATACAATCCACATGTTACATAATGAAGACATGGCAGATTTCAAATGAATGCTGACATGAGATTTACATATTTTAGCTTTTACCTGACCTTTAAATATTATCAAGAATCTTTGCTTACAATAAATGGCTTCTTTGTCATCTAGAAAATCAAATTTCATTGATCCAAATATGTTATAATAAAACTATCTCATAAATTAAACTGGCCTCTGAAGAGATTATTTATGAAAAGGACTATAAGCACCAGTTGAGACATTATTCCAATGGGACTCAATGAAACTTAGAGACAAAATGATTTTCTTGATTTTGCAAAATCCCCTTCAGTCACTAGGCACTAGTCACTGACCTTCATTGAGTCTTTTAATAGTGAGCCTCTGCTTTCATGAACATAACAATAATGAAGATGTTGTCACCCACCTCTGCCCCTCAAGATAACAGTAACATTCTGTGATCTGTATTTGTTAGGCAGTTCTTGCATGTTTCCATGCAAGGGATAAAGATGCTGAAAATCAATGTTACTTCCTTTTAAATATTATTGACTTTGCCTCTCTATGAACAAACAAGTTATCTACTCATGAATCTACTTTCTCTTTCCAGGGGCAAATGTCTAATAATATGAACATTTAGTAAAGGAACATTAAATTATCCTTTAGTTTTTGAGAAAAGTAATTATATTGCTTCTAGACATACTTTCATATGATAAAACATTCTAAGAAGGAAAAGCTATCATGGTTTCTTTGAAGATATGTTGCAAGCTGCATAAATAGAGGATATTGATTTTAAATAGCTGTCTTCCTTGAAGTTCATTCCCATAAATTGACTTGTTCAACTCTTGTTTATTCTCCCACTGTATGCTAAATGTATAAGTGCCAGCATTGGTCATTAATTGTTGAGTAAGGTAAGCAGACATTTTCAATATATAAACTTAATAGCCAATTTAACTAATATATTTATGCTGAGTCTTGTATAGAAGATTTAGCCCCAGGATATACAAACAATATTGAGAGAATATAGACCAAAATAAGAGTGCTGGGATTTTGTTTGCAGAAGCTACCACTGGGGCTCTTATAAATTAATGTCAGAATGTAGGTGTTTTATATATGTGTGTGTGTGTGTGTGTGTACATATATATGTATAAATGTGTGTATATATATATATGTATATATATAATGAATCATTTTATAAAAATTGAATTTTAAATATTTAAATGTTTCTCTACAACTTGCTATTTTCATTTAACAATTTACAACCATCTGTGTGTCTATCCATCTCTCTAATAACCTGATATTGATTGATAGTCTTCTGAAATTCTCATTTTTATCCAAAAATATTTAGTGAAGTACAATATTAAAAAGTATACCAGGAAATCTAGCAATTGTGTTCCTCAAAGCCTGAAAAGAAATTACAGACATTAGAATGTTTTTCAGCAAATGTTAAGATCTTAACATGTTTTTATAGAAGAACACTGCAGTTCATGGAAGAATATCATGTAATTAATAATAAACTTCAGCCATATAGCCAGTGATCTGGCATATATATTTACTAAAGTGAGGTTTCGTAAATTCAAGGACAAATACTCAAGTCTGAGTTGGTACAGGAGCAAATCAGGAAATATATTATGTGTCTAGAACAGGGTAGAATTCTCATAAAGATAATTTGCAGTTGTCATCTCCCTCTGCCAAAGTATACTTCTCCTGTTTATTTGATTGACTCTCTTGTTTATCCTTTAGAAACTTTCCTTAGGAGAGTCTTCTAGAACTCTCCAAGCTAAAGTGGGTCCCTCTCCCATGCTGTATTAGCTCTTGATGAATAACAGAATATCACAAACTCAGTGTTTTAAATAAGAACTATTTGTTGTACTCATTATCTTGTTAGTTCCTATTTTGTGTGAAGATGTGTTATTCTTCTGTTTGTCCTCACAAGGCTCCCTCTCATCTCATCTCTGCAATCAGTAACTATTCTATGGCCAGCTGGTGCTTCGTGGTGATTCTGATTATTTCTGAACAGTCTCATTTACTTATCTGGGAGTTGACATTTGTGACATGAGTAATTAAAGTAATGTCAAGTCCATTTCATAGTCTCCCATTCTCCAGGAAGTAACCTAGTGTTCTCCACATTTTTCTGGTGGTTTCAATTTTATGTGAGCCTTATATGCAAATAATTTTAAAGTTGTTGCATTGTATTTTTAAACATCTATTGACCAAAAGGCACATTAGTAACATAAGTTACATTCCATCTATCAGTAAGATAATTTGCAGTATCGTATTTCAAGATTATGAGCATAGTCAGAGAAAATATTTTTTATACTTTTGCCACATACCAAAGATCTTCTCATAGTCCTAGAATTTCTTTTGATGGTATATAATATTTATATCATCTACTTTTTTCCTTAGTTTTAGACTCCATTATTTCCACATATCAGACCGTATCTATTCTATAAATACAGACTTCATCTACT